AACTCTCTGAGCCTCAGTTCCCTTATCTGTGAAATGGAAATAGCCCCTACCTTATAACGTTATTGAAAGGATGAAATGAGATCATCTATGTAAAACACTCAGCACAGTGTCTGACAGCACAGAGCAAATCTTAGATGTAATAATTTATGGCAATCAAATGATGGTGATGGTGAATGTAGCATCTCTCCCATTGTGATTCTATTTTTGCATCATGTTGCTTTACCAAAATAAAAAAATGGATGGTTAATACGATTTTCCTACTAAAGCATTATATTCCAAAGGAGGGGTATTTCATAAACATGCAGAGAAGAAATCCACTGTTTTTCAACCTGATGACATCAGTAGGTCAGTTCGTTTTCTCTTCTTTTCAGTTGCATTGAGAACCTCATGTACTGTTTCCAAAACCTATGGATGGTTGTAAATCCCTCTCTGGATGTGGCCAGGGCACCAAGTATATCAATATTTGTTAAGAGCCTAGAAATGCTTGCCTTTCATCTGACAGGGCCATGGGATTGTGGACTATAGGTCAGACCTGATGTTTGTAATGCCACACGCAAACCCCTTCTTGAGACCATCGTTTTGTAACATGGCAGAAATTTTGGAAGCAAGAGAATTGAGATTGACTCCACCAAAAGCCCCAACGTGCTTTTTAAATGAGTGACACGGAAGGTGAACTGAAATGTTGTCTGAGGAACACCTGGCAGAGAGCATGTCTTTACACAAATAGTTGTTTAAAAATACCCTTTACACAGCTGCTGCGTGACTGTTGTCTTCATGAGCCTTTTATAAAGAGTGTTTTGGGACCAATCAGATTCTCTCACTTGAGACTCTGCCCAGAGAGACACAGGTATTGGGAGTTGAGTCACGTTTATGATTAAGAGCTGGGGTGAAGGGCTATGAGCTGGTCTCCTGGAGCTGCCCACGCCTGGCTTAATTCTCTCTTAGTTTCTGTGAGATACGCCCCTCTCTTTCCAGTATCTTTCCTCTCTTTTTATTTTTAATTTTTCACTTAGGCTAATTTGAAGTGTGTTTCAGTTACTTTCATCCATAAGGACCCTGAGTTAAACAATTATAATAAGGCATCTTCCCCCTACAACGAGAAAAAAAAAAAAGGAATTTCCTTCTCAATAATGAGAAAAAAAAAAGGAATTTCCTTCTCAGGAAGTTTGCCAGTAACATGAACAGCCCAGCCTCAACCATTAAAAATGGTCATCAAAATTTCAGTTACAATTTGAAGAAGTCGCCAATTTTGTTTTTGTGAGGAAGATCAGCCCTGAGCTAACATCCATGTCAATCCTCCTCTTTTTGCTGAGGAAGACCAGCTCTGAGCTAACGTCTATTGCCAATTCTCCTCCTTTTCTTCCCCAAAGCCCCAGTAGATAGTTGTATGTCATAGTTGCACATCCTTCTAGTTGCTGTATGTGGGACGCAGCCTCAGCATGGCAGGAGAAGCGGTGCGTTGGTGCACGCCAGGGATCCAAACCCCGGGCTGCTAGTAGCCGAGCGCGCTCACTTAACTGCTAAACCACAGGGCCAGCCACGAAGTCGCCAAATTGAACCAAAAGACGGCAGAAGAAGCCATAGCCCCGTTGGTTGGTAAATGGTCAATTTCTAGTACTTAGTGACTCCACCAAATTCGATCATGGTCCCAGGCGCTGCGGATAACCAATTCCTCAACTAAATTTTGATGATAGAGGCAAAGTGGGGGACGAGAGGGGTCACCTGGGCCTGATGGACCATCTGTGAAGACAATTTCTTGTTGTAAACAGGAAGGCCAATGGATTGATAGATCATAATCAGGGAGTATTTTGAAAATTAACCAAAAGCCATGTTAAGGTGCAGTTTGTATCACCTCCCTCCAGGCAAGGTGCCATGGGGCGAATAGGCTAATAAATTTGGAAAGGTAAGGGAGCTCATAAAATCAGACACAAACACGATTTTGCACCTCCAATTTTATGGTTCTAAACATAGGGGTAATTTCTTGAAGCTTGAAAGAGAGAGATTGGAGGCAGCTAAAAGGAAGTCCTACTTTTAATGTAGCAGAGAATAAACTCATGGAACTCCTGACCCCAGGGACTGGTATCCTCCATAATAAAGAAGAAGTAAAGGAAAATGGATGCATGAATGATTATAACTGCCCCTTCCAATATGTAGACACACAGACATACATGCATATACTTACATACACACACACACACACACACACACACACACACTGTACCACAGTTTGAGACTGAGACTGAGACTGCGTAGAAGGCGCCATTGGTTTAGCCCAGCACGGCATTGCTTGCTCCCATTTTAAATTAATATTTTTTTTTTTTAAAGATTTTATTTATTCATTTTTTTCCCCCCACAGCCCCAGTAGATAGTTGCATGTCATAGGTTCACATCCTTCTAGTTGCTGTACGTGGGACTCGGCCTCGGGTTGGAGGGAGAGGTGGTGCCTCGGGGCACGCCCGGGATCCGAACCCGGGACGCCAGCATCAGAGCGCGCGCACTTAACCACCAAGCCACGGAGCCGGCCCTTAAATTAATATTGACATCCCCTTGGACAGGGAAACAGAAGTATTTAGGAGACTACTCTCTTAATAACTAGTGTTGATGATCAAGGAAGATGATGGTGTTATTTTATAGACATATAACTAAACGTGATTTAATTTTTAAAACAACATACCTTTGCAAATACTTACGATAGTAATATAGTTCATCACTGACAATTTAGAAAATAAGAAAAAGTCCAGAAAGGAAAAGGAAAATTGTCTGTAATCCCATCACCCAGGTAGAATCCGAGTTAAGGCTTGGGCTTGTGTTCTTCTAGTCTGTTGTTCCTGCATGTATACACAGATGAACAGATTTTAAAAGAAAATCGAGATATTATGTTTTGAAACTCTTTTTCATTTAATGTAATGTGATCTTTTTCTCAAGTCTTTCTTTATTTTTGCACAACAGGGGTTCTTTACCTCACCATGTGGCAGACCCCACACTCATTGTACCCAGCCACACTGGCCTCTTCTCTGTTCCTCATTGTAGTGAGTTGAATAGGGGCCTCCAAAAGGTACCTCCGCCCAGGATCTCAGAATGTGACTTTATTTGGAACAAAGGTCTTTGCAGATGTAATTAAGGTAAGGATCTTGAGATGAGATCATCTTGGATTAGAGTGGTTCCTAAATCCAGTGATAAGTGTCCTTACAAGAGACAAAGAAGGAGAAGACACAGAGACACTGAGAGAAGAAGGGCGTTTGAAGATGGAGGCAGAGATGGAGTGACACATCTACAAGCCAAGAAATGCCGAGGACTGCTGAAAGCCACCAGAAGCTAGGGGTGAGGCACGGATGGAACGGATTCTCCCTCCGAGCATCCAGAAGGAACCAACCCTGTTGACACCTTGATTTGGGCTTCTGACTTCCAGAACTGTGAGAGAATAAATTTTTGCTGTTTTAAGCTGCCACGTCTGTGGTACTTTGTTATGGCAGCCCTAGGAAACTAATACGCTCACATAAACAAACTAATTCTCGCCTCAGGGCCTTTGTACTTACCATTTCCTCTCTCTGGAATGCCTTTCCCACAGATTTTTGCATTGTGTGCTCTGTCTTGTCATTCATGGCTCAGCTTAAGGTCGCTTCCTCATAGGGACATTCCCAGTCATCCCAGCCCCTCTCTCTTTTCAGCCTGTCACTCTGCTTTGCTGTTCACATAATACTCATTGTTACCCTATGTTCCTTTTCCATTCATTTGTTTCCTTCTTTCTGTCTGCCTCCCCACCTTGAACGTGAGTTCTGTGAGACAAGAGTCTTGGGTACCTTGTTCCTTGTTCTGTTTCCGCCAATCACCCAGAGCAGCGTCTGGCCCATAGTTAGTGCTTAATACCTAAAAGCTGATGGAAAACACGAACAAATGAATGAATGTGAGTTAGTTCTGAACAGACCGGAGTTTCACTACCGGCTCCCTGCCGAATCATGCATCTGAGGCTGGGGGATCCCTACCTTCCTCAGAGCTCATCTCTGCCATCTCTTTCACTTGAAGGAGATCTCTACTTTTAACTTTCTCCCTCTAGGAGTTGATTGGAGAACCAGACAAGCAAAGTGCTCTGCAAAGACTTAAGAAATTCAAGAATGTCTATCTTTCTTCATTTACTGCCATTGATTCGTGGCTGGGAGTCTGAGTATCCGCGTTTCTTATCTGTATCCAAGTCATGAGGGTGTCAAAGCAAGCCTCATCTTGCTAAAGAATCAAACAGTGTCAAAAGCTGGAAATGAAAGAATGACAGAAACTTGGACCGATCACAGACTCAAACCAGTACATCTCCTTTCCATCCCAGAATTGGGAACTGAAACTATTCCATAGGAAGTTCTTTCTTCCCCTCCTATACAAAAATCTCAATCTAACCCAGTTCCTTTTGTATTTTTATTTATTTATTTATTTTTATTTTTTTTGGTGAGGAAGATCGGCCCTGAGCTAACATCTGCCAATCCTCCTCTTTTTCTTTCTTTCTTTTTTTTTTGCTGAGGAGGACTGGCCCTGGGCTAACATCCATGCCCATCTTCCTCCACTTTATGTGGGACGCCGCCACAGCATGGCTTGCCTAGTGGTGCGCTGGTGCACGCCCGGGCTCCAAACTGGTGAACCCCGGGCTGCCGAAGCAGAGCGCGCGCACTTAACCGCCTGCGCCAACAGGCAGGCCCTCCCAGTTCCTTTTTTAATACACAAATACTAATAGCAACATTCACCAAAATCTAAATAAAATGTAAAGTGCTTTTGCAATCCTTCCAAACGAAACTGTTTGTGTTTATGCCCAGCCCCTTCCCATCCCTGTCCCAGTGTACGTGTAATTTTTACTTACCTGTTTCATGATGCAGCTCAGGGTCCACGTCTTTTCTTACTTTACAGTGTATGGTCTTTTTCTATCAGGACACGGTTAACAACCCATAAAGGTCTCTGCTTAAGTAACAATTCCATTTCTGTGAACCATCACTTGGACATGTGCAACACCAGACTGTGTGTCTCAAATCAAAGTTTATTGAAGTGGTAGATTTCTTATAAGTACAGAAACATAAGCAAATGAACCAGGACGAAGCTTCCCCTCTAACCACTGGGCAGCACTTCCCTTTTAATGATAAAACCAAACACAGGTGGGAAGCAGCTCTCTTCCCTGAAGACTTTTTAATTGCTCAACCTTCAAATCAGTGCAAACGAGAGAGGAATGGATTAGTTGCAAGTTCTAACACCTCGCCTTAGGAACACTGTTTTGCTCAGTCCCTCCCGGGGACTCCTCCTTACTACCACTGGAAACTCAGATATTCACCAAAGCTCGGGAGTCTCTCTGTCTAGTCTGTTTCTGCTAAAGCTTGGCTGAAAGATGAATTGGTCCCACGGAACCCAGGTGACCTACTAACTTGTCTAATGATGCCCATGTTTCCTCCGGGAGCCATAACTCCTCTCCAATCACTTCGCTCTCCTTGTCCCAGCTGGAGCCCTCAAACAGGCTAGATATCACCCCCGGAGCTGAGAACCATCTGAGTCTCAGGCAGGTGAAGAGGCCAATGAATCACAGATGCTGATGGGTGTCTTCTGTAGCTCCAACTCTGCTCGGCAGAAATGTGGACAGTTCTGCAAGTGTCCGAGATTGAGCAGAAGTTTCAGATGCCTAGAAGCTCTATTCTCTGTTCCCCCAAGATTTCTGTGGTGACACTCTGCAGCCCAGCAGGCCACACTGCTTCTCTAAATCAGATTCTCTGAATCTGGAAATTCTAGGAAACCTCAGGCCGAGTCTGGTAATGTTACTCTGTGTACCAGCTAAATTGTTTCTCTAGAGATCTTGGTTCTTGGTGACAATCTCTTTTCTTGGCTTCATTATTTAACAAGAAGCTGGAGTCAGATACGAGGGGCTCCATGGCTCACTGGGGTCAGCCATTAAAGTGTCTGGAACACTCCTGGTAGTACTCAGTTCCCCCGTAAGCTAGACACTTGAGCTCTGGTTATTTTCTGGCTCATCTGGCACCTTCTTCCGGAGGCAGCGGCTGATCAAGGTTGAGAAGAAGTTGGGAAAAGATGGGCTGGAGAAGTAGTACACCAAAGGGTCCAGCATGCTGTTCATGTAGGTGATGCTGAGGGTGGTGAAAAACGCCAGGTCAACCGAGCGATAGATGTCACAGTTCTTCGTACCCATAGTGTGCACGAGCGATAAAATGCGTATGCGCACGGCGACACTGGGCAGGAAGCAGATGACGAAGACGATGGCCACCACCACGATGAAGTTAGTGGCCCTCTTGATCTTGGCATGTCTATCCATTTGTCGCTGCCGCAGGCTCCAGATGATTCTGGCTGAGCAGAACAGGATGATGCCCAGGGGCAAGAAGAACTCCAGGAGGAACATGGCGTCGTGCCACCCGACGCTGTGGCAGATGCTAAAGCCGCTGCACAGCTTCGTGTTGTGGTGCCTGAGCGACCTCTCTTTGCCCAGGAGATGAACCGTCAGGCTAATGGTGACGCCCCACAAGAGGCAGGAGATGACGCCTGCTGTTCTGTTGGAGATCTTGTTCAGAGCATGGTGGGGATGCACCACCCGGAAATACCTGTCCACCGCCACCACCGTGAGGAAGATGATGCTGCCTTGGCGGTTCATGGCCATCATGAAGAGAATTATCCGGCAAGGGATGTCCCCAAACCTCCAGTCCCACTTCCTCACATAGTTGTCCATCACGAACGGCAGGCAGAGGATCAAGAGCAAGTCAGCCACGGCCAAGTTGAACAGGAAAATCCGGCTGGATTTCCAGGACTTGAGGTGGAAACAGAAAATCCAAAGGGCAAGGCCATTGCCCAGGAGGCCGAACACAAACTCCAGCCCCAACACCGGCGGCAGTACGTTGGTAGTGAAGTCATCCTGGAACACACAGCAGTTCTTCTTGTCTATTTCCAGAAAATGGTCCTGCTGGTGGTACGGTTTCATGAGTGGATCGAGTTGGTCCTAGGGAGCGCCTCACCTAGTGAATGCTCAAGGAAAGAGGTGTGTGTCTAAGTGGTGAATGTGTGGTTCAGCGCCTGCCTTTATGTCATGTCCGGGTGTGGAAATAGATGACTAAATGGTTACCAGGAAACTGTGAAATCGCTTTAAAAAAGCCAGTAAGGCTCTTACACAACTTGCTGTTTGTATAAACAAGTAATAAAATCCCCGGAGCAGACAGGAACCCACAAAATTTTCTAAATGTAAAGGATAAGTTTAGGCAAGCCAACTGTCATTTGTGAATTACTGAAATGGGGAGGGCATCCCTTTGGAAGGCTGGGTGCCTGTATATCAAGTACTTAGCACCAGAGAATTGAGTCACTGTCGTTGGGTTAGCCTACAAAATTAAGAAAACAACAACAGCAGCAATAATAATATACTGTGCTCAACAGCATGGTTTTCAAGAAACATTAAGAATTAGTATATTGGGCCGGCCCTGTGGCTTAGTGGTTAAGTGCTCGCGCTCCGCTGCTGGCGGCCTGGGTTCGGATCCCGGATGCGCACCGCTTCTCCGGCCTTGCTGAGGCCGTGTCCCGCATGCAACTAGAAGGATGTGCAGCTATGACATACAACTATCTACTGGGGCTTTGGGGGGAAAAAATAAATAAAATTAAAAAAAAAAAAGAATTAGTATAAAACATTAACGTGTATATGATTTAAGAAATAGTAGCATGCATATGATTTCTTTCGGAAAGGGCAAGAGAACAGTCATTGTCTATTTTATGAGGAGAGATGAATTGAATTTGATGTTCTCATGCCAGCTTCTCTGTACGAACATGGATTGCTTTTCCACGCCAGAACTCTGCAATTAATCTCTATTTAGGAAAAAAAAAAAAAGCTACTTGAGAGCAGCATAAAATTTCAAAAGATGTTTGAAAACTTGAACCCAGTTTGGATTGCCAGTGGTATGTTGGAGTAAGTTGGGTTTTTTGTTTGTGTTAGACTTTGATATGTTTCTGTGCTCAAATAAGTGATTTATTTTTGTGTGTCATTTTTTAAAATTAATAAGCTTTACTTTTTAGAGCAGTTTTAGGTTCCCAGAAAAATTGAGCAGAAAGTACAGAATTCCTGTATACCCCTATTCCCACACACACACAGCCTCCCTCACTAAGTTCGTGATATTTTAAAAGCCATTATTTTTGGAAAATTAAACTTAGAGCAACAAGATCTAAGAGGACTTTGAACTCCGCCTCTCACAGCAGGTCACCATTTCACACGTCGTTTCTTTGCTTTTCAGTATAATTGGGTGTAACCCTACAGAACATTTCTACCCTTTAATATTTTGGTTATGAATTCTTGCTATGCAAGAGGTTCTAAATTGTGTTGCTTCTACTTTGAGTTAGAAATAGGAAATTTGTTTCTTTAGTTGCATACCCAGGTTCAATAGTAGGGGTTTGTAGACTCTTCACAGTAAACTGGAGTCAGGATAATCTAATATTAGACTCTCATAGAAACCAGAGGACCTTGATGAAGATGATGATGAAGATGATGTTGGCACCGACGTTACAGAGAGCTTCCAATGTGCCGGACCCTGTGTGCAATGCTTTAAATACATTATCTTGTTTTACCCTGACTGCAGTCCGTGAGGTAGGGACTATTATTGATTCTGATTTCAAAATGAGGAAAGTGAAGCTCAGAGAGGTTGGTAATATAGTCAAGGCTACCCAGCTAATAAGAGCAGAGCTTGGATTTGAATCCAGCACTGGCTTCAGAGCCTGTGTCCCTGACCATTACACACACTGCCTCTTATTATGTTATTGCTCCATCTGTAAGGCTGCACTGGATTGAGGTGACATTGTGTGGGTGTATTAGGTTCTAGTGAAATGACTGATATTTGTTTCTCATCCTTGCTGTGCATGAATATCTTGGTTCCTTCTTGGACAAATATGGACTCATCAATGATATTCATAAAGTAAGGGCCTTTATTAACTAAGAGTCAGAAGCCCAAAGTTAGCAGCAATAAACGCATGTATTAGGAAATTAGAAAGATCTTGATACCGGCTCAAAACAAGGTTGACATAAGGGAAGCCATATTGTAGAAAAGAAAAACTCTATGTAACTTTGAATGACCTCTGACAGACTAACCCAGCCGGATCTGCGCCCTCCAGAAGATCTAACTGCTCTGCAGATTTTATGACCTCTGCTTGTGCAGGTGCCTCCCGGCTGCGATAAGATGATAACTGTGTTTTTTTGAGTTCCTTAGGAATGTGATGACCCCCAAACAGAGAATCTATGCTAATAACCGTCATCAGTGAAAACTGAAAGATCTGGTGTGGCACTCCCAGTCCGTAACACCAGAAGGTCAACATTCCTACCCGCTCCCCTATAACCCAATGGCCTATGTAACTGCTGTAAGATTTCATGCCCCCTTAAGATGGTTCTTTTGGACATGAGTCGGCCATCTCCCCTCTTGCTAGCAAGCTGTAATAAAAAGTCCATTTTCTCCTACCACCTTGCCTCTTGACTATTGGCATGTCTTGCGGCGAGCAGAAGGCCCCACATTGGGTGGTAACAATCTCAAATAAACAACCTAAATTTACACCTCAAGGAACTAGAAAAAGAAGAACAAACCAAGAGTCAGAAAAACCGACTATTAACAATAGTGATTCCTGGAAGCTGAAATTTGCAAGGGATCCTCCCTTTCTAAGTTTTACAATTTTACGATATTTGGGTTTTTTTTTTTTAAACAATAGTCATGGATAAAACTAGAAAAGAACAACAACAAATATCGTTAAGTTTGAAAAAAGAGAAAAGCTGGAGACTCTGGATGCTTGTTCTGGCTCTGTTGTTAACTAGCAGTGACACCGCTTAACCCTTCAGCTTCCTCATGTGTCAATTGAGGGACTGGAGGATCTTTGAGCTTCCTTCCAGTTTTCACATGCTATGATTGTAAAGCAAAGTTCACAACTACTCAGACAAAATGTAAATTCCTGCCTCCCTGGATTCTGGTGCCTGCTATGGAATTTCCGGTCTTCCTACTGTACCGCGGGTGTGTTTTGTCTTGCTTGTATCCTTCTTTTATGTATGCATTTTTTTTCTTACTAGTGCATGAGTTGTACAGAAACTTGTTCTAATGAATCATGTCAACAGCTAAGGCAGTGAGTCCACGGAGTTTGGTGGAAACTCCATTCAAATCTATGACTTTCACAATTAACTTGCATCTCCATGCATCGTTATCTTATTACAGCTTGAATGTGTGCCACTGAACTGGATTGAACCATTTTTTTAAGTTAAAAATAATAATAGCTATCATCTGTCAACTGGCTTGCTTTGTGCCAGGGATTGTGCTAAGAGATTTGCATACGCGATCTCATTTAATCCTCACAAAAACCCTGCGAGGGATGTGCTATTGTTATCATCATCCTCATTGTACAGATCAGAAAACCGAGGCTTAGAGAGGTTAAATAGTTCACTATTATTTGTCTTTGAACTTAGCTGGGATTTCTGTTTTAGTTGTCTATTGCTGTATAACAAACCACCTCAAAATTCAGTGGTTTTAAACAACCACCATTGTATTATCTCTATGGGTTGACTGGGTTCAGCTGCTTGGTTCTCATTCTCTTGTGTCTCTCTATGTGGCATCTCTATGTAGCATCTACACACAGCCTCTTCACACATTCTTTCCACGGGGTAGGGTGGACTTCTTACAAGGCTACTCAAGGCTTCCAAAAGCACACAGCAGAACTTCTTAATGCCTGGGCTCAGAAATCCCAGAACATCAACTCCACTGCATTCTGTTGGTTAAAGCGAGTCACAGAGCCAGTCCACATTCTACTGGGAGGGACCACATAGGGTGGGAGTACAGGAAGCATAGTTCATTGGGGGTGTTTTGGGAGACTTGCCTCTGCAAATGGTAAATGACATTGAGTTGGCTAGACACTTGGGAAATGAGAGACCTCTGGACCACTAATGAAGAGGAAGAAGTAGGAGAAATTGAGAAGTAAGGAGGTAGAGAGGAAATGGATGATACTGACAAGCAGGGACCTATAAAAAGAAAGGAGAAGGGCATTTCAGGATTTTGAAACATTGTGCTGAATTTAATGTAAAAACCCTAAGGGCAAACTGGAATAACCAAATAATCTTGAAAAAGAAGAACAAAGTTGGAGAACTTACACTTCCCAATTTAAAAACTTACTTCAAATCTACAGTAATCAAGACAGTGTGGTCCTTGGAATAGCCACATGCCAAAGAATGAAGTTGGACCGCTTCCTTGCAATGGACACAAAAATTAACTCAGAATGGATCACAGATCTAAATGTAAGACATACAACTCTCAGAAGAAAACCTAAGAATAAGTCTTCATGATCTTGGCTTAGGCAAAGCCTTCTAAGGTACAATACCAAATGCACATCTACAAAAGAAAAAATTGATACGTTAGACTTCACCACTTTAAAGAAGTGAAGTGTCTTTTTCTTTTTTTTTTTTACAAAAAACACACAAAACAAACAAGACCCTGTTTGTGGAAGAGTGTGGAAGAAGGCTTTTTCATACACTGTTGGTGGGAACATGTTGGCTCAGCCTTTTTGTTGGACAATTTGGTGGTATCTATCAAGATTATAATCAGAGCTAATATAATAAGAGCTAATACAAGATAATAAGATGAACTAACAGATGTAGTGCTTACTCTACGTTGGGCATTACTCTAGGTGTTTCATACATCTAAACTCATTTAGTACTCACAAACACCCTAGGGGCAGGTACTATTCTTGTCCCCATTCTACAGACGAGGAAAATAAAGCACTGAGAGGTTAGGTAACTTGCCCGAGATCACACAGCTAATAAGTAAAGGAAAATAGGATTTGAACCCAGACAGTCTGGCTCCAAGGGGCCATGCTGTCAGCCACTGTGCACACTGCCTCACCCAGTATGCCTGCCCTTTGACCCAACAATTCCACGTCTAAGAATTTATCTTCCAAAAATCCTGGCACGTGAATCCAAAGATAGTGCCTTCAGAATATTCACCATAGCATGGTGGCAATGGAGGAAAATTGGAAACAACTTAAATATCCATTAAAATGCCATTGGTTAAATAAACTATATGTGGTTCTTTTATACAACGAAATATAATTAAAACCCATGAGCTTGATCTCTGTTCTCATGTGGGAAGCTAGTCATGATAAAAATACTTGGCAAAACTGTATTTTATATATAATAATCCTACTTTAGCAAAACGAAAGACTCATTTGTGTGTGCAAGTATGTATATGCCCGGAATGTTAAGTCATCACCTCTAGGAAATGAGTTTAAAAGGAGTGAAAAGAAGACTTTTACATCTTACTTTATATATTTGTTTGTTCTTTGAATTTTAAAGCAAAAATATAAAGAAACGTAATTCCTTTTTAGAAAGAGAGAATCTGAAAGACTGTGAATAGTCTTCAGTCATGGTGGGTTGTAAACAGACCCTTCTCTCTCCGGTGGATCTCCTGGCTTCACCTCTTATCAGGTGTCCCGGCCCCAGCCTGGACTTTCCATCCCTGTCCCACTGATCTTCCTGTGGTTCCCAAGCAATCTGCTCTCGCTCATGTCTCTCCTCTCCAATTGGAGTACCTTTTCCCACTGACTCAGCTGGTTGCCTTCTCGCCATCCTTCAGGACCAAGTTCATGAGTCACTTCCTACGAGAAGGCTTCTCCCACCCCCTAAGTCTGGATTAAGGGTCCCTGGGTTCTCCTGTAGAGCCCTGTGTTTACCATTTTCACAGCTGTTGGCCTGAATGGTAATTTTATTTTTCCTTGGTTTCTACAATAGACCCCATGGGGTCAGGGGCTGTGTTTTTCATTTGTATTTCTACTGTACAGAGCTGGTGCCTAATAAATGTTCCTTGAAACAGAGAATGAATGAATGAATGAATGAATGAATGAATCTTTACAAGGAATAAAATATTGACCCTTTCCCACTCTCACTGTATCATCACTGGGAGCTGAATATAGATTAGGCCCATATGTGAGCCCATCTATTCATTCTACTCATCTCAACCTGTATATATATATACAACCTGTATATTTATGTATATAAATATACAACCTGTATAGTTTATGTATATAAATATACAACCTGTATAGTTTATGTATATAAATATACAACCTGTATGGTTTATGTATATAAATATACCACCTGTATAGTTATGTATACAAATATATATAAATACTATCTCAACCTTTATATATATATGTGTGTGTGTATATACATATATAAAATTTAGTGCCCCAGCTTCATGGATGAGCTCAGAAAGGTCTTGTGTTTAGTTTTAATGGTCGCTATTGCCATCTTGAAATTCTTAATACTTTTTGAACAAGGGAACTTGCATTTTCATTTTGCACTGGGCGCTGCAAATTGTGTAGCTGGTCCTGAAGCCATTTAAGCACTCACTGTGATGATGGGGTCTTGAGTCATATTGGAAACGTCTGGATTAGAAGGCCCAGAGGGCAAGCAAGTTGAGGTAGTGCATTGCAGTGTGGCCAACTCTCCACCTTGCTGTAGAATCTTAAACAATTGGCTTAACCCCTTGTGCTCAGAGTTCTAGTCCTGTCCAAGTAGCTCCTGCACTCTGGTGACTTCAGACACCATCTTAACCATTTCAGTTTTAATAAAGGGTAAGAAACCCATCCTGAGAATAGACCAGGCCTTAAATTTTTGCACTGTCAGCCAATAAAAGGTACCTCTTATTTTTTCCATACGATTCCTATAGACTCTGTGGTCTGATATCCCTGCTAGCTTTTGTTTGACTTTTCCTGAAAGACCCTGAGTAAGAGGAGAAAACATTTTCTTCTAAATCAATTACATTTTTCTATTTCAGGGAGTTTAAACAAAGTGTTGTCAACAAAGCTATACACCTCTTCCTTAAAATTTCTCAAGAACACTTCTTAATAAGATTTCTTTTTGTCACATTCTATGAATTTAAAACGGGAAGCAAAATTAGAGTCAAGACTGTCTTTGGCTTTTTGTTTGATTTTTCTTTCTTTTTGTTTGTTCTTGCTGTTTTTTAATGAGACCCTCTGCCCACCATGAGCTTCTGGATTTTTTAGACTTTTTTCCTTGGAGGGTAAAGTCTTAACAAGTCTTTTAACATAGGGTCACACACAGGACGCAGACTTCCTTTAGGAACCCATTTTTATTAGAGGAAGCAACAAGGGAGCAGCCCAGGAAAGAATTATAACTAAGAATAGAATTAAAAGCGGAAGTGTGGATTTTCACAGATTTCTTCCAGGAGGACATATGTTCCTTGATGCTGACAGGAATCCTTGCTTTTGCTCCTCCCCAGGCAACTGGAGAGCAGGGGGATTCAGGTAGTGACAATACAGCAGTACTTAGGGCCTCTGAACCCCAAGAGAAATTGCTTCTGTGCCTCAGTTTCTTTATGTGTAAAGTGTATTAACATAATAAGTCATAATATTGAGCACTTACTGCTAGACACCGTGCTTAATTCTTTACATGCACTTATTCATGCATTCAAATATTTATTGAGCACCTACTGTGTGCGAGCCCTCTTCTAGGCACTGGGGATGTCACAGTGAACAATGTCCCTATGCCTCAGGATCTTATGTTCGTTGAATCCACTCAGCGATCTTTTGAAGTCAACATTATTGTTACCCCCGTTTGACAGGTGAGGAGACTGAAGCTAAAAGTGGTTAAATAAAATATGCCCCCAGATCACACATCTAGTAAGTGGTTGGGCTGGGATTCAAACTTAGATTCATCTGACTTTCTACAGCCCCCGCTTTTCATCACGAGGCTGTGCAGGGCCTCTGAAAAAGGAAACAGTAAAGACAGCCGATAGGGGTGTTTCGAGGCCAAAGAACTAAAAGCCGGTAAGGTCCTGAAGTGCAGAGAGTACCCTAGAAAGTTGAGAAAGTGTAAATAAAGGAGCCAAGAGTGACTTTCACAACTTTGTGGCATGAGAACGGAGCTAAGGTTGGCTTGAAATCTTTCCTCCTAATCTAGGGCAGGGCAGCCTGTCATTTCATAGAATCATCTAGTTCTGGTGGATATAGGTACATGTTTGGGAAACTCATGTGCATAAGTGACACTTACCCTTTTTGCCCTTTGGTGTTTGTACACATTCCTCCAATAAGAGGAAAACACTAATGTTTGCAGAGAACAGGTCTAGAAACTATATTCATTGAAAGCGTGAAGGTCATTAACTTCTGTTTGCCGCACTTCCCCATCCCCCCCAAAAAAAACTTTGCTGTCACACAAGGGTTGACTGATGACCCTCCAGCTAAAAGGGACACTAGCACAGTGCCTGGCACAGAATATGAATTCAGTAAATAAGTGGAGAATGACTGAATGAATAATTTCAACTCATAGTCACATAACAAGCAGTCAAAAGCATGAACGCTGGACTCAGCACTTCCCAAAGGCCAACAGGATTTTTTCAAGCACTCAGCTCCCACTAGAAAAATCAGGGCAGGTAAACACATCCCTCAGCACCTTCTTTGAGATGGAACAACTTGCAGGAAAATGTGGAGCTAGAAGGAGGTCGGAGCGAATTATTTTGCAGTCATTCTTCCTGGGCTACTGAGAAGTCAGAAACGTATATAGGGCCCCTGTGAAGATCAAAATCATCAGGATCAAGACATCCCAATCTAAAGAGCCTCACTCAGACTGAAATAAAAGTATTGACTTACTTCAGTTTCTATTTCCCAAGACAAGTAACAATTTAAGGTCAGAAGACAGGAAATACTGGTAAGTCATTAAGTTCACTAACTCCCTCAGAGAGAGCACAGGACTAGTTTAAACATTGGTACCTATTCACTCAGCCATTTAAAATTACACAGGAGCCCAGCTCTTCCTAACCCCCTGCCCAACACACACATGCCCCATTACATGCATATATTGTCCCTTGTCATTGTAATCAGATCATATAAATGCAACCGACTCACATCTCAACTGGGACCTTCCAAAAAAGCGTAGTAACCCGAATTTCATTTCCAACAGTGAGGAAGATACAGCTAAGAAAGGGTGGCATTTTCAAAGCCCCCTACCCCTTAGCATGAAGTATTTCTAAGTCGTCCATCTGTCCTCCTTGATTTTGTCTGTTTGTCTGTTTTAGTGCCATTCAACACATGCGGAGATGCCACTGGACATCGGGTTGGCTTTGGAAGCTATTTGTTACACTGATGCAATTCTTGCGACAGAGGTTGGAATTGGCGTCCCTTCTGGCCTCCGTGTCTTGGAGCCTCCCGGACGTTTGGGTCTCAGACCGCTGATTTTGAGCTTGGAGTAGAATTTGGGGAACGAAGGACTTGAAAAGTAATACACCAGGGGGTCCAGCATGCTGTTCATGTAGGTGAAGCTGAGGGTAACGTGGAGGGCTACGTGAACAGACGGATCGCAAGCGCTCGTGGGCACCGTCCAGAGGAAATACAGTCTGGCCGACACGCTGGGCAGGTAGCATATGATGAACACAACGGCCACCACCATGATGAACCGGGTGGCCTTCTTCATCCGAGTCTGCCTGGCCAGCTGCTGCCTCTGCTTCAGGCTCCAGATAATCTTGAAGGAGCAAAATAAGATGATGCCAAGGGGCAGGAAGAACTCCAGCTGGAACATGACGTCGTGCCAGCCATTGGCTGACTCCATGATGAAGCTCTCACAAGATATGGTCTCCTTTTGCACACACAGATGGTTCTCCATCAAAAGATGCAGAGTGCCCAGGATGACCATGGTCCAAAGGGCACAGACGATGCCAGCCGCAGTCCGGTTGGAGATGGTGTTCACCATATGGTGGGGGTGGACCACTTTGAAATACCTGTCCACAGCCACCACCGTAAGGAAGACGATGCTCCCAGCCCTGTTCATGGCCAGCATGAAGAGCGCCACCCGACAGGGAATATCCTCAAAGGCCCAGCGTCTGTGTCTGTGGTAGTAGTCTGTCCGAAAGGGCAGGCAGATCATGAGAAGAAAGTCGGCCACGGCCAAGTTGAAAAGGTAAATAGTGCTCGGCTTCCAGGTCTTCATGTGAAAGCAGAAACCACACAGGGCGATGCCATTGCCCAGGGCGCCGAGCACGAAGGCCAGGATCAGCAGTGGTGGCATCACCTGAGGGATGGAATCCCCCTCGATGACGCAGCATGACTCGTTGTCCATGGTGGACAGAGGGCAAGTGCTCTGTGTGCCAGGCTGTGGGGTCCCCACAAAGACACAGATGCTTATCTGACGCTACTGCTCGCCCGGCTGCTGTTTTTCCAACCTCTTCACTCTGGGACGCGGGGACCACACGTGTACGTGGATGCAGCCACTCCCAGGAGAACAGAAACCAGTGAGGAAACGAGAGATTCGGGGAAGTCCTTTCTCTGGAGCCTGGGTCACAAGCTGCCTGTGTCCCCGAGAGCCGAAGCCTGTAGCATCTCAAGGCTTTGAAATGCATGTAATTTCGCACAAGCGGTCATTTCTGGGAAGCGGCTGGCAGCTCTGATGAGATTCATGCTGGAGAGGAGTTGTGGGGTCCAGCCCCAGAATGGTTTTATTTTCAGCCTTATGCCTTCTCCTTAGACTCACTCTGTGCTGGAGAGCACACAAAGCTGCTCAGAAGGTACGAGAGAAGCTTGTTTGTTCTCCCTCCCGGTGGAGAAATACAAACACTTCCCGGGGCCGTTCTGGGCCTCTGCCTCTGCCTTCCTCCCTAACCTTTGCCTGACCGCTCTGTCCTCTCCCCCGTCCCAGGGGGCGCTCCCAGGCTGTGCCAGAGGGGAGGCTTTGCTCTCCGGTCCTCAGAGCCATTTCCTGCGCCCACACCCAGAAATACAGCACTCAAACCTTGGAAGGGTCTGCGGAGGAAAAAAGCTCTGAAAACTGCACTTGTTGGTTGGTAAAAAAATTCCTTGAAGTGTGTTGCCTTTCCTCCCTCCATTTGCAACTCCGACCCTATGTACCCTTCCGTGGACCCAAGTGACCAGTTGCACAACCAGCAAGACCATGAAATGCATCTGAAGCCACTTCTCATAGATCTGTCTCTGTGAAACAGGAGCCAGCTCCTCCCTCTGCTGTTTGCAAAAGAGGATTTGGCTCTGAGTTTCCCACTGGCTGTTCAAAAAAGCCAAACACCATGATATATGTTTTTATTTTTATTTATTTATTTATTTATTTATTTTTTGTGAGGAAGATCAGCCCTGAGCTAACATCCATGCTAATCCTCCTCTTTTTGCTGAGAAAGACCAGCTCTGAGCTAACACCTATTGCCAATCCTCCTCCTTTTTCTCCCCAAAGCCCCAGTAGATAGTTGTATGTCATAGTTGCACATCCTTCTAGTTGCTGTATGTGCGACGCGGCCTCAGCATGGCCGGAGAAGCGGTGCGTCGGTGCACGCCTGGGATCCGAACCCGGGCCGCCAGCAGCGGAGCAC